AAAATGTAAAGAGTATATGCTTGAAAAAAATGAATTTTATTATATATTAATTGTACTTCAATAGACACACGTAGGTAGGCTCTTAAAATGTAGGTATGCTGAACCGGGAATTAGATCAAATTGGATATATTTAGCTTTGGTTTCTCTGCCTCCAGACCATTTTACCACAGTTGAGGGGAAACACCATCATGGACAAGAAGAGTTTGGGAAAACTACTGCTTCAGACTCTTCCGGGACAATGTCTCCTGCATTCCTCCTGTCCATCCACATTACCCTTATCCATCCAGGCCTTCATCACTTCTTCTCTGGACCGCTGCAGTGTATTCCTGCCTGCTCTTTCTGTACAATGTTCCCCTTTCTGGTTCCTCCTTTAGTGGAGTATCAGAATGAGCTTCCTAGGGCACAGCTCTGATTATACCCTAGAGCCATCAGGAATAAAGCCTTGGCCTTTTCACCCACAATCATACCAACCCCTTATCTCCTTGTTCACCATTTTACACCCCATGGACTCAGCACTCAGGTTATTTCTAACTGCATTCTTTTCCTTGTGCACTTTCAGTCACACTATTTCCTACACCTTAAACAAAATTTTCCCCATCTTCCCATTTTAAAATATTACACATTCTTCAAATAACACTCAAATATCATTTTTGTCTACAGGCCTTAATAATTCACCACTGTGCCTCCTAAATTCATCTTCCTCTCTTTGTAGTCCTTAACATATCACTTCCTATGGTGACTCTGTCACATTCTAGTAGAGTTTGCCTATCATCAATTTGTACACTGTGTATATATAATTAGTAAATAGATAATTTGTTTAACATTCTTCTCAGCAGATGAATTTATATCCTACTTCCCTTGGAAAACAGAAGCCATGAAATAACTACCCCCGACGTCCTGCCAAAACATGTATAAAGTCCCCTATATCTTTACATATCATGTGCTCTCTTGCCTTCTCCTTCCTTCCCAAAGCTATCTTTTTCCTGGCTCTGAATCCCACCTTCTCATCCTTGACAAGAACCTCACTTCATCCATTACCTCTTCTTTTTTCTAAAGGTTTAACTTCCTTCTTGTTGCTGATTCCTCTTCTCAGTAATTCAGGGAACACCAGTTAGAACTATTTAATAAACTATTTTTAAGCCAAAATAGTTGTGCTGATAGACCCTCAAGACTAGAGTAGCTACATCTACAAAGGCAAGGGAAACAAATTATAAACACACATTAGCCAGGCAAGAGAGAATTATGTTTATCCATCCATCCATCATCCATCTATCCATCCATCCATGAAGAATATTGAATGCTGACACCAGAACCACCACCCTCCTTATGCTCAGTCTTGATTTCCCCTGAGATACTCCTAATCTACAAACATCTGTGAATTCCACCTGAGGGGACCCAAAAACCTATTTACAGGGAAAGCCACTTGGACCTCTTCTTATCTGCTCTTCATTTTCTAAGAACCCATGGCCTCAATCATGTCAACATAAATTCAGAGATAAAAAATTCAAAGAATTTATCATGGCTTATCATTTTTATTTGTTTCTTATTATCTATTCTCACAAAAGATTATAAATCACTTGATTGTAGACCCCCTAAGAACAAGGATTCTGTCTATCTTGTTTATCATTGTGTTCTAAATACCCAGCACATGGAAGGCACTCAAAAAAGTACAGAATGAATGGGACTATATATAAACAACTAGCTCAGCATTGCAGTGGTTCTAATGTCGGACACTCAGCAGAACCACCTGAGAACCTTATTTAAACCATGCATTCCTAAATAGTCTTCCCTAACTATACTTCCCTGTCAAAGAAAAACCACAGTTGGACAGTAGTTAAAGCCATATAAATAGATTTTGTTCAAGACTACCACAATAGGGGAAAGAAAGTACAGTACAGGGCTCAATTCCTAATATTAAATGAGCAAGTAAGAAGTAGGGGAGTGAGTCAGTGGATGGGAAGTTACCAATGAGAAACATCAGGGGTCAAGGAATTCCAGTTACACGACTGGACATGATCTTCACTCAAGACAGGCCAGAGTGCTCAGACATCCCCTAAAGAATGGTGGAAAATGAGAAGGATGGGGACTCTTGGTAAATTGATTTAGCAGGGTTCTTGCTAAAACTGGATTTTATAAGGAAGTGCACAGATAGGCCCAGAAGAAGGTTCAGGAGCCTGACTCAAGTCTGATCAAGAAAGAATCTTTGTCAATATCCACAATCAGATGTACCATTATCAGGATTGGAAGGGGGGTGTGGGTACCTAGGTACAACATGTGTCCCTCACAGGCCTCCAGATTCTGTCATAGGGTGAGGGGTGTAACATCAGCAATTACTGTAGGAGGGGTAGTGGTTGTGTGTAGTTGAGAAAATTCCTCTGGTTAATTTTCACTCATCACCTCTAAACCCTGTGAGAACCACTGCTCTAGAAACACCGCTCTTATGCCTGTAATATTCTCTGGATTTTTAGCTATAGATGCCTGTCAACTCTCAGACCCCTGATCCTTCAGCCAATCTTAGAATATCTCTGGGGCTCATACATGGGTGACTACACATGGATAACTACTTTTCTCATTAAAATTTTTTCGATATTTAACATTCTTATCCTCTACCACAGAGACCTTCAGTCATTAAACACACTAAGGCATTCTATTTGAAGAGGCAGTCTAATACTGATTAAATGAAAAGGCAAGGTTACTTCTACCAAGCCACATCAGATTAAATGTTTTCATTATTAGTAGAGAATGTCATTACCACCATGACTTTAAAACTTGGATCCCCATAGGGGCGCCTGGGTGGCGCAGTCGGTTAAGCGTCCGACTTCAGCCAGGTCACGATCTCACGGTCCGTGGGTTCGAGCCCCGCGTCAGGCTCTGGGCTGATGGCTCAGAGCCTGGAGCCTGTTTCCGATTCTGTGTCTCCCTCTCTCTCTGCCCCTCGCCCGTTCATGCTCTGTCTCTCTGTCCCAAAAATAAATAAACGTTGAAAAAAAAAATTTTAAACTTGGATCCCCAGACAAAACTTTTGGAAGAAGCCTTTAATACCCAGCCCACAGATTCCTCATCACCAGTTCCCCATAAGTCCATATCCTTCAGTCAAATTAAACAATAAAGACAAGGGTGACCTAGAAGTAGGGGTGAAGGAGTTAAAGGGGTTTGGAGCAGAGTTCTTATTACTGTCTTTGAACAACAAAATCCTCCAGCAGCTCTTCCTTTTGGGAAAACATTCCAAGCTGTAATCAGAAGCACTTCTCAGTATTATCCCCAGGGATATTGCCTGTGTACTAATCAATGATTAAAGCAATTTCCTGATCTTATTTAAAAGTGACACAAATGGGAACAGTTGAGGGACTCAAGAAGGTGGTCAGGATTTTATCTTAAATATTTTCTGGAAAAGCAGCAGACAATTAAACCATTAAAGAACTCTAGGCAGTTTTTCAAGATTAAAATGTAACACATTTCAGTCACAACTAAGCCTGTCATATAGGAATTCAAATCGCAATGTGACCCCCCCCCTCCCAGAATACATTGGCACCCCAGGGAGTTCATTTCTATTAAAGAAATGCTTCTGGGGAATGTGGGAGTCTAAACAACCTGTTCAATTGCCCAGAGTGACATGGAAGGAAAAGGCGAAAAAATCTTGGGAGTCAAAGGGAGTAGAGGTGAAATCACAATTTAGGATTATGTGATCTGATCAACATGACTTCCATCATCTCTCTTAGCTTCTGCTTCCTCCTCTGAAAAATGGTAATAATATTTATCTTGCAAGATTACTAAGGGAATGAGCCATGGTAATAGTAAGAATAAGAATACTGCCAATAGCAATTGTGTATGAGAATATTTCCTATCAGCATACTCTATCTCCCCAGGAAGCAGTGGAGGGATGTTCTTTTTTAATGCTTATATTATGCAGCAGCCTCTTGAGTTTGCATTGGGAAACTGTAAGTACCTGTTTTTCTCTTGATGTTCCTTCTTAAATGTTGTTTACTCTGGTTTAAACCCTCAGAAATGTGACCTTGGGTAAGTGCTCAAAAACATTTAAAGGCTACTAACCTTTACCTTTAAGATTTTTATGTTTCTTGGGTTGAATCTACCCCCTATCAGTTTTCATTTGTTCCCCTCAAAACTAGTTACTAAAATGGCTAATTTTCCTTTGAACAGATAATTTTTCCAAGTTTATATATTAAACAGTGGGAATGATTAGGTCTCACACCCTTAAAGCACCTAATACAGCTATTTCCCTTCCTTTGGATAAACAACAAGCCCTAAATAATCCATTTTTTATCATTGAATATTTACTAATAAAAGAATAACCAAAACAAAAGTCCCAATTTTTATTTTTTTTTTATTTTTTTTTATTTTTTTTTCAACGTTTATTTATTTTTGGGACAGAGAGAGACAGAGCATGAACGGGGGAGGGGCAGAGAGAGAGGGAGACACAGAATCGGAAACAGGCTCCGGGCTCTGAGCCATCAGCCCAGAGCCCGACGCGGGGCTCGAACTCACGGACCGCGAGATCGTGACCTGGCTGAAGTCGGATGCTTAACCGACTGCGCCACCCAGGCGCCCCAAAAGTCCCAATTTTTCAAACTGCATTTAATGATGCTAAAGTCTGAAACAATTGATCTTTTATTGGTCTTATGTGAAAATTAAGGAGTCTACTAAAGGTTTTAATAAACAATGTCACATCAGCTCAATCCCAACCATCTCCAATTAACACAAACACACACACACACACACACACACACACACACACACACACACACACCACCAACACCACCATCACCACCACCCCAGCCCTCCCACACACACCACTGCAATCAAAGAAAAAGAGAGTACACGAAAGTTTGTGTGGCAAACTCCCAATTAATGATCAAAACTCCTTGGAGCCAAGGTACTATTCTCCCAATAGACTGCTATTTCTAAAATCCATCTCTTTGAAAACAACAGCATGATTAATTCCACCATTCTCACTTACATTACTTACAACATAGAAACAATGATGCAGTAAGAGCAATTATTAAAAACACTTTATTATGTATAATTGTACATGCTGCAATTTGTGTCATTTGGGATTATTTTCCAGGTTGTGATGTCACCTACCAAGATTAACTAAATCTAATGTTCATCCTGCCACACCACATACAAAAATACAGTTTTCAAAGCAAAGTTGCCCTTCTCTACACAAAGATGGGTAAGAATTTGTCAGATGAATAAGAATACTCTGCACATGTATCAACACCGTACAAGGCGTTATCCTTCACACAGTAACATTTAATGTATTCTTTTATTTGGGAACAGCAGGACAAGAGCCCCTTTAACTCTCAGAGGGAAATGCAAACTTTGTTGCTAAAGCCGAACTCCAGGGATGAAAGTGTGGTCCTCTCAAGGGAGGCAGAGGCAGTGGGGATTTATGGAGGAGGGTGGAAGCCTCATAAGCACTTCAAGAGGAAGGAATTGCAGGTGGTTCCTCGGGGACAGTCGCAAAGCTTCCCAATCCGTGCTCCTTTTCGCACTGCGCATCGCTCCCCAGCGTGGCACTGCGAACAACACAAGGTGCAGTCTTCCCACATATGCAAACCCAGGCTCCCAATGGCCGCATCTCCCCATCAACACAATTTCCGACTCCTGGGAGGGATAGGTGGAACCTATCACCATCCCCAGAGGTCCAAGTATAGTCAGGCCTGAAACACAGAGAGCCTTGTGCTTATAATGTCAGTGAGAGAACATAAAAGGAAATTATCGAACCCTTCCTACTTTATTTCACCTTTTTTGAGTGGGGGCCACATTTTCTGGCTCCTTTGATAGTTTATCCAAAAGAAAGAAAATCAGACATTTTTGTAAGAAATCAACAATAGACCTATTTCTCACAGTCTCTACTCCCTGCTTTCAGCCTCCTCATCCCAAGGAAGGTGGGGGGGGGGGGGGGAGAGAGAGAGAGACAGACAGACAGACAGACAGAGACAGAGACAGAGAGAGAACGAACATGTGCATGTGTGTGTTCCCTCAAGGAAAGTGACGAGCCGGGAATCAAGAATTTTGACCTTAAAACATAGATCAAAAAAATTGGCAGTGCTCCAGAAGGCAAGAAGAAAATTGGAGGAACAAGATCTGAATAGATTTAAGGGCTCTTCCAATTCAGAGAATTCTTCATGAGTTGAAAAAAAAAAAAAAAAACTCATCCTCAAGAAATGCTCCTTTCCATACAGACACCCAAGAGCTGATTCCTGGCACAAGCTATTGGGTCTTCTGAAATGGCCTTAGAGGCCAAGGACCACGTTTAGGGATGTAAAACAAAGGGAAGCCTACAGACTTCTGCAAACCCATTACCTGCAAACCTAGATGGATCTAGAGAATATAAAGCTAAGTGAAATAGGGCAGTCAGAGAAAGCCAAATACTGTATGATTTCACTCATATGTGGAGTTTAAGAAACAAAACAAAGAAAAAAGAGACAAACCCCAAACCAGAATGTTAACTATAGAGAACAAACTGATAGTTACCACATCCTGGGGAAAAGGTCACCTATAAGACTCAAGGTGGTAAGTTTCCTCCTGGAAAAACATGGGGAAGGGGAACCCCAAAGCCTTACCATGGGGACTTGGCCATACTTCTTCTCATAGATCGGAATACTTTTAGTCTTGAGCTTCTTCAGGACTTCCTGTAGCGCTTCGATCTGCAACACACCGCCCCCACCCCGGAGCCGAAGTTGCCGCCTTGGCTGCAAGCCCAGCTCGGGTGCTCACTTCCCCTCCAGTCCTAGTTACAAGGAGCCCCAGAACCACACACACACTCCGCCGCAGGATTCCAAGGATAGAAAGGGAAGGTGCAGGGGTAGTAACTTAGCGAGCACGGTCTCTTGTACTGACCGCAAGTCCCTTAGCTGCTGAGGCTCCTGTTGCTCCAAGGGCCCGGGACAAGGGATTCGCTCTATAAACTGCCCGCAGGCAGTGGGGCTGCAGACGATTTTCAAATGGCAGCGGGAGCGCTGCCTTTGCGCTCATCTCCGCGCTCATCCCAGCGCACCCGGACTCTGGGAAGTGGGGGAGGGAGGGAGGGAGGACAGACGCGTGTACAGAGGGACTGGGGGGCAACCAAGGGAGATGCGGGAGATACCCACCAGCTCCTTCTCATGGGAGGTATCCTCCACGGCGGAGTAGATGTCCAGGGCTCGGGGCTGGAGCTCAGCATCCTCCTGGGCACGGGCACCCAACAGCGGTAGCAGAAAAAGCAGGGCGGCACCCAAGACGGTCAGCGGCCGGAGACGGGGGCTCTCCATGGTGCTGAAACTCGGCGCTGCTGTGGCACCCCACGCTCCCGCCTTTTATAGAGAGCCAGAGCCCGAGTACAGGGAAGAGGGAGGGGGCGACGAAGGAAGTGAGTGTGGAGGAGGGTCCAGGTCAACCGTCTGTAGGCAGCGCTCCGCCACCGCCTGACATCAATGCCCGCTGGACACCAGGCACCCGTGAACGAAGCTGTGCGCACAGACAACAGGGACCCCGCACCCCTAAGTGCTGTCAGCCCCGCGGCAAGGGACGCTCCCCTAGGGGCCAGAGCTGAAAAGGAGGGGCGGAGGGGCGAAAGCTGAGGGATGGGGAGGAGGAGGGGGCCAGGAAATGGAAAATGCCTTGGAGGCAAGGCGCAGGCTGTAGAGTCGCTCCCCATCCCTAGCAGCAGTGGCAAAGCAATCCACCTCACCAGCCCTGCTTCGCCTCTCACCCCAGCCTGTGGCAGCAAGCAGGAGGTGTTGCCTCCATGCAGGCATGTTTGCTGAGCATTTTACTAGACACTGATGCCAGGTAGGGGAGGCAAACATAGTACATATAACAAAGAGAAATCATGGCCTTCCCCAGGATGAGTTCACAGAATCTACGTGGTAATGAGAAAAGAAGGAAGACAGACTAACCTCAATTCAGGGGCAGTATGGAGGGTACAGAGAGAGCCCCATTCTGATTCTGGTCCTGGCCCCGCTGCTTACAAGCTGTGTGACTTTAGGCAAAATAAAGAATCTATCTGAGCCTCTCTCTTTCTCTCTCTCTCTCTCTTTCATACAACTGGAATTTAAAAATGCACCTTACAAAGTTATCAAAAGGAGGAATGAGAATAGGTATGTAAAATCCCTGGCCTTTAACACAATAAGCACTAAGCCTCCCTGCCTCTTTCTTTTAAACTATGAGGCTACCCAGGTAAGTGGTTGTGTGCAGTAGTCAGTTTTTCCTTTGGGCAAACTCACCATCCTCATAACCCCTCTTACCCACTACCCACTTGTGATATCTAAGAAGCCTGTCTAGAAAGAAAGCAAAGGGGATGAAAAATGCAACTCCCTGATTATGGAAATATCTCTAGAGATCAGAAGTCAATGATGAGCCAGGTCCCTAGTGACCTGGGAAGACTGGTTTTTGAAAGGTGGGGGGTCCTTATGGCCTGAATACAAATCAAAGTTTCTGTAGGAGAGGTGACGTTTTCCCTACTTAGACCTAGAGGCTTATCATTCAGGCAGGCTGAACCCTGCCTGACCACCTGGGTTCTTTCACCACGTCATCTTTCTTTCAACTGCTCCTAACCCCATTCACTTTTCTCCAACCCCATTACTACCACCCCAGTTCTGGACAATTGCCCCAACCTACATCTTGCCTTCCTCCAACTCCACCCCATCTTCTCTTGCCTTCCTCTAAACCATAACTGACAACCAGGCAGAGTGTTTTTACCCTTAATATGCACTGATGGCTTCCCATCTTACTAAGCACTGAATCTAAATTCCTCATCCTGACTTACAAAGTACTACATGATCTGTACCTCTCTCCAATTTCATGTCCTACCACTCTGCCCCAGGCCCCTCCACTCCTGCCCCAGGCCCCTCCACTCCAGCCCCAGTGGCCTTCTCTGTGGTCCTCTAACAGGTCAAGCTCATTCCCATTTTGAAGCTTTTGCCCTTACCTTACCTGGAAAGGTCTTCCTGTGTTTCTAAATAGTCAAATACTTCTTGTAATTTAAATCTCGGTTTAAATGTCCTTGACCAGCCAATCTAAAGTATCCACCAATTTATGCTCCCACAGATTTATTGCTTGCCATGTGATGTGGGTCACTGGGATAATTAATACAAAATATGTGTCTGTTATTTCATTTATCAAGTATTTAATTGCTATTCAAATGCACCCTGGGAAGCAATTCAAGAAATACTATCTCTCCTGATGAGTAGCACACACATCAACAGCATCAAAGTATTTTTCTTTGGGATAAATCTAACTTGAAAATTAATCTAATACCTACCCCAGGTCTGCCTCCTAAACATACCTTTAGATCCTACACAATAAAACTTCAGTGACAGCACATTTTCCTGTTTAAACCTTACAGAGACATACTGGCACTCATTGCAAAAGGGATCTCCAGTAATGAAGGTATTCTAAATTTCAGAAAGAAAGTAAGGTTTTAGTCCATCCTTCTGCAAAGATGGGGATATTCCCAATGCAGTAATTTCTCTCATGTTGTGGACAGACACAATTTACTGATTTACTATGGACAAACCTCTCTTAACCACTCCTCCTAAGATAAAGCAGGCTTCCTATTTCTCTCTCACTCCCTCCTTCAAATTTTGAGTAATTTCTTTTCCAGTATGGCCCAGAATAACACTTGGCCTTTTGGATTGTCATAGTGCTCAAATACCAAACTACTTTGTTATCCATTAACCCCCTCTCCATCCTTCTGCCAAACAAGTCTTGTTCAACAGTAAACTTCCTCAGTTTGGGCCAGGAAAACAAAAGCAAAAATAAACATTGGAACTCCATCAAAATAAAAAATTCTTCACAGTGAAGGAAATAATCAATAAAACTAAAAGACAATCTAATAGGAGAAGATATTTACAAATGACATGTCTGATAAAGGGTTAGTATCCAAAATACAGAAAGAACTGATACAATTCAATGCCCAAAAAACAAAGAATCCAATTTAAAAATGAGCAGAAGACATGAACAGACATTTCTCCAAAGAAGAAACACAGGTCACCAACAAATGCATGAAAAGATGCTCCACATCTCTCATCACCAGGGAAACACAAGTCAAAACCACAATGAGATACCACCTCACACCTGCCAGAATGGCTAAAATCGAAAACACAGGAAACTACAAGTGTGGGGAAGAATGTGGAGAAAAAGGAAGCCTCTTGCTGTGGGAATGCAAACTGGTGCGGCCACTGTAGAACACAATAGGGAGGCTCCTCAAAAAGTTAAAAATACTTTCCTTTTACTGCCACGGTGGCAGCCATAAGTATGTTCAGGCTTCAAAAGAGGCTTGCCTCCAAGGTCCTCCACTGTGGCAAAAAAAGGCCTCGTTGGACCCCAATGAGTCTAAGGAAATCACCAGGGCCAACTCCCATCAGTACATCCAGAAACTGATCAAGGATGGGCTGGTCATCCAGAAGCCTGTACTGTCCATTCCCAGGATCAGTACCAGAAAAACACCTTGGCCTGCCAGAAAGGTAGGCATATGGGCATTAGTAAGAGAAAAGGTACTGCCAAGGCTCGAATGCCTGAGAAGGTGACCTGGATGAGGAGAATGAGAATTCTGTGCCAGTTGCTCAGCAGACACCATGACTCTGAGAAGACTGACTGCCACATGTGTCATAGCCTGTACCTGAAAGTCAAGGGCAACCTGTTCAGAAACAGGCGGATTCTCATGGAACACATCCACAAGCTGAAGGCAGACAAGGCTCTCAAAAAGCTTCTGCTGAAAAGGCTTCTGCTGAAAAAGGTCCACAGATCAAGGACCAAGGAAGCACACAAAGTCTGTGAAGAGCACCTCCAAGCCAAGAAGGAGGAAATCATCAGACTCTGTCCAAGGAGCAAGAGACAAAGAAATAAAGCTTCCTCTCTTTTGTCTGTATACAGTGGCCTCAGCAATTACACAGGTCAATTATTCAATAAAGCAAACCCTTATCTGCCCCCCCAAAAAAATTAAAAATAGAACTACTATATGATCCAGTAATTCCACTACCGGGTATTTACACAAAGAATACAAAAACATTAATTCAAAAAGATACAAGCACCCCTATGTTTATTGCAGCATTATTTACAATAGCCAAATTATGAAAAAGCCCAAGTGTCTATCAATAGATGAATGGAAGAGCACCTGGGTGGTTCAGTTGGTTGGGCATTCGACTCTTGATTTTGGCTCAGGTTGCCATCTCATGGTTTGTGGGATCAAGTCCCATGTCAGGCTCTGCACTAACAATGTGGAGCCTGCTTGGAATTCTCTCTCTCTCTCTCTCTCTCTCTCTCTCTCTCTCTCTGCCCCTCCTTGCTTTCTCTTGCTTGCTTTCTCTCTCTCAAAATAAATAAACTTAAAAAAAATAGATGAACGGTTAAAGAAGATGTGATACACACACTCAGCCATAAAAAAAGAATAAGTTCTTGTCATTTGGAACAACATAGATGGGTCTAGAGAGTATAAACCTAGGTGAAATAGGTCAGTCAGAGAAAGCCAAATACTGTATGATTTCACTCATATGTGGAATTTAAGGGGGGGGGGGGAGGAAAAAAGAGACAAACCCCAAAACAGACTGTTAACTACAGAGAACAAAGGGAGGTGAGTGGGTGGGGTACATAAAATTGGTGAAGGGCAATGAAAGTACACTTACCACAATAAACATTGAGTGATGTATAGAGTTGTTTAATCACTACACTGTACCTCTGAAACTAATATAACACTGTATATTAATTATATTGGAATTTAAAAAATCCTCAGTTTCACTGACCTCTTAGATATTTGTATTTAAAAGTGTTTCTCGGGGCGCCTGGGTGGCGCAGTCGGTTAAGCGTCCGACTTCAGCCAGGTCACGATCTCGCGGTCCGTGAGTTCGAGCCCCGCGTCGGGCTCTGGGCTGATGGCTCGGAGCCTGGAGCCTGTTTCCGATTCTGTGTCTCCCTCTCTCTCTGCCCCTCCCCCGTTCATGCTCTGTCTCTCTCTGTCCCAAAAATAAATAAACGTTGAAAAAAAAATTTTTTTAAGTGTTTCTCTTTACTTATGTTCACTGCACTTTCCTCCAGGTTAAACATCACTCTGTTCTCTTTGGTACACATTTATAATCTCATGGGTGGCACACTTTTCACTTCTACATTATCTGCTCCCCCACCTTCCCTATCTCCAGAAGAGAAATGAGTTTCCATTGACATTCATCTTGTATTTACTGACTTTCAATCCAAAGCCTTCCAAAGGAACTGATGTCATTCTGTTCTAATGAAACATCTTTATCACTATATAGAAGAAAACAATCTGCAAATGAAGCACACTTGGAGTTGATGCTAAACTGGGAGGTGCTGGAGACATATGAAAGACTATGTATTTTAGAGACAGCCTCAGAAGGAATAAAGTAGAGAAATAAGACAAAGCTTTCCATTATTTTTTCAAAGATTTCAATTTAAAAACTGTCAATTTCAAGGCTTCCAATTTTTTATTTTTTTTTATTTTTCTTACTTTCTAATATGAAATTTATTGTCAAATTGGTTTCCATACAATACCCAGGGCTCATCCCAACAGGTGCCCTCCTCAATGCCCATCATCCACTTTCCCCTCCCTCTCACCCCCCATCAACCCTCAGTTTATTCTCAGTTTTTAAGAGTCTCTTATGGTTTGCAAGGCTACCAA